AAACATCTTTCTGGTATTCTTTGCTTTGAGCCAAGATCCATCTGACATCAGCTATGATATCCCTTGCTCCACATCCCCTTCTGAATCCAGCTTGCATTTCTGGAAGTTCTCTGTCAATATACTGTTGCAACCATTTTTTAATTATCTTCAGTAAGATTTTACTTGCATGCGATATTGATGACATTGTTTGATAATTTCTACATTTTGTGGGATCACCTTTCTTTAGAATGGGTACAAAATATGGATCTCTTCCAGTCAGTTGGCCAGGTAGCTGTCTTCCAAATCTCTTGGCATAGCTGAGTGAGTGCCTCCAGTGTGGCACCCATTTGTTGAAACATCTCAGTGGGTATTGTGTCAATTCTTAGAGCCTTGTTTTTCACCAATTCCTTTGGCGCAGCTTCAATTTCTTCCTTCAATACCATTGGTTCTTGATCATATGCCACCTGCTGAAATGAATGATCATCTACCAATTTTTTTTGTACAATGACTCTGTGTATTCCATCCATCTTCTTTTGATATTTCCTGCATCATTCAACATATTGCCCATGGAATCTTTCAGTATTGCAATTTGAGGCTTAACTTTTCTCCTCATTTCTTTCAGCTTGAGAAATCCCGACTCACCAGACAACTAAGTGTGGTAAAGATCGTATTACTTAAATAACTTAATTTTAGGAAATCTTAGTTCTACCTCAATTAGACATTTCAGGTGAAAATTAGGATTTATTTCTAGAATTAATTTAAATCTCTTACTCTTATAGTTACTTTGCAAGTGATGACAGAGGTTACACGTATATGTAGTCATCAAAACAAGAGTATAATAAAAATTATCCTTTCAAATGTTAATTGGCCCAGACACTTCATAACTGGACTGGCTGCAGTACATCCAACTATGAGTAGCTAATATTCGGCGACTCAGCTGTTTTTACATAAAATCCTCCCATAGTTATAGTTCACACGTGGATTTGGTATTGTGTCTTACAAATATCCTAATAGCAGCAAACAAGTCTGTAAAGCCAGTAGACAGTAAATATATAATAACACATGAAAGTATTCTTAAAAGCTAACTGCAGTTAACCAAATACTCGCTTCCACTTCTGTGCCTTGACATACAGTGTTTTCCCTGACTGGAATGTCATTTCCAAGTTTCCTGCTTTGCTTATTATTCCTATGCAGCCTTCAGGACTCAGCTCAAACACACGTCTTCTAGGAAGCCTTCCCTGACCTCCCCAGCTGGCTTGGGATCCCCTCCCTTATGCTGCCAGAGTACCTCTATGTGAGTATTTATGCTATGTTTTAATTTTTCATTTGCTTATTACTGGGAATAAGGACTAGTCCTCAAAGTACATAGCACATTTCTGATGTTAATAAGAGCTCAATAAGTGTTAAATGAATAAATAAAATACTACAAATCAGCAGAGGAAGAAAGGGACAAAGAAAAGGTCATTGGGTTTGTGAAGAAGAAAGTAATAAAAATACTTTCGAGAGCAAAATTTAGTAGATAGTAGAAAGTGAAACCAGATTCAAGAAACAACTCCACAGCCGTCGAGTCGGATCCAACTCATAGTGACCCCTCCTTGGGTTTCCAAGGTGGTATCACTATGGAAGTAGATTGCCCAACCTTCCTTCCGAGGAGTGGCTGGTGGGTTTGAACCACTAGCCTTCTGGTTAGCAGTCAAATACTTTAGGCACTACGCCACCAGAGCTCCCAAAAAACAACTAGGCAGATAAAAATGCTATCCTGTTTTTACTTTATCTGGAAGCCTACTAGACATTTTGTTCTTATTTATAGAATATTCATATTTGCCCCTATATTCCTATCATGATTTCTTTTACATTAAAAATCACTTGAATAATGAATGAGGTTGTATACTTTTCTTTCTGTCTATCTGTCTGTCTATCCAATCTATCTATCAGTCTTTCTATTTATCTATCTACCTAGGAATCCTTGGGGGAGCTCTGTAGCATAGTGCTTAAGGCACTTGACTGCTAATCAGAAGGCTGGCGGTTCAAACCCACCAGCCACTCCTTGGAAGGAAGATGGGGCAATCTACTTCCACAGTGATACTGCCTCAGAAACCCAAGGAGGGGTCTCTATGAGTTGGGTCCGACTTGACGGCACATAACAACAACAACAGGAATCCTTAGGTGGTACAAAGGGTTAAACCATTGACTACTAGCTGTTGAAACCCACCCAGAGGATTTGGGAGACAGGCCTGACAACCTACTTCTGAAAGATGACAGCCTTGGAAACCCTATGGAGCAGTTATACTCTGCACAGATGGGGTCACCATGAGTCAAAATTGACTTGATTACAACTAATAACAACAACTATCTATCTATCAAGGAGCCTTGGTGCATAATGGTTAAGGCTCAGCTGCTAACCAATTTGGCTGCTAACCCTCTGGTAAATTTGGGCAGTTCAAACCTACCCAGAGGCTCCACAGAAGTAAAGACCTGGCAATCTGCTCTCATAAAGATTACAGCCTAGGAAACCTTATGGGGCAGTTATACATGCAACGTCTGTCTATCTGAATCATATAAAAGGAATTAGAACGTATGAACTTGAAAAAACCTTGCTCTGTGGAAAGTTAATTATGTCAGTATAGCTATAATGAACATTTGGTGATTATAATGAACAATTTGATACAATCATCATCACAATGATGATAAAACAGTAAGTTCTCCAATTTATAGAATGCTTTTTATAATCTAGTCTCTGTCCTAAAATGTTTACATATGTTTCATTTAATCACCATGAGAACCTGTGAGGTAAATATTATTCCCATTTTATAGTTGAGAAAACAGGCTCAAAAAGATTGCCCAAGATTCCACATTTATGTCTTTCATCAACTCTAAAACACCATGATTATAAAATTAACTGTAATTTCATGCACCATCAAAAAGATTTTAAAAGCTGTCAATTTAACCATGAGGTACCATTGAATGTAAGCCACATCCTGATTACAGAGATATTAAAACATGAAATAAACGTGTACCTTAGAATTAATGAAACATGGTATTAAGTGGTAGAAATATGATTCCATCCAATTGTGAATCCAAAGCCCCTGTCATTAATCAGTACATGACAATGCATAGATATCCTTAGACATCTAATAGATGTCCTTTATTCTAATCCTCTCCCTTTACAGATTAAAATTAAGATTGAGAAAAAGAGAATTGTGCACGTAAGAGATAGATGACAGATGCTAATACCAACCAATGTGTCCACAATACTGCACTGCCATTAACACCAAACACTAGGCTACAGATGGGGTCAGTGAACAGAAGTATACTCTAGACCAAGGATAGACTCAGCTGAGGCTAATCTTGCACAGACACCAGTGATACAAAATACCTGCAATCTTTACAGAAACAATAGAGGACAGTCACAGAGTAATCCCTCACAGACATCCAGACACTATGGGAAAGAGATCCAATAGATCTACTGCCTCAGGACCATAGTACTGGGGGGCATCAGACTCAATTGGCACAACAAAATACATAAAAGCATTGCTCTACATCCTACATTTGTTAGTAGCGACTGGGGTCTTAAAAGCTTTCAAGCTGCCATCTAAGACGCAGCTAACGGGCTCCTAGCATCAGAAGTGAAGAAGAATGCAAAAAAAAAAAAAAAAAACACAAGGGCATTTGGAAGCAATCAGCACCAGGACATGATGGCCCTCAAGACCAGAAGAACTAGATGGTGCCCAGCTACCAATGCCAACCACTCAGGAAAGGATCAAATCTGGAGATCCTGGATAGAGTGGGAGGAAAAACATGGAACAAAATCCAAAAACTCAATAATGACCAGAATTACTGGTCAGATGAAATCTGGTGAGACCCCCAATACTATGGCCCTGGGATACATTCTGTGCCTGGAATAAAATGCACCCCCAGGGGTGAGCTCTCAGCCCAATAGTTTATAAGAGGTACACACAGACCATTCAGCCCAAGATGACGCACCCACATACTCTATGATAATACATCCCTTAGAGCAATAGACCATGGAACACCAGAGGACCAACATTCAAATTGAGTAAATGCAGGATAAACAGGAGTGCATAAATATGAGGGGCATAGGGGGAGGGTTAAGGGTAGGGAGGGGAGGGGAGGAGACTGGGTTAGGGTTGGACGTGGTGAATGGGGAATGAAACTAAATGTACGTGTCACGTTGAATGTAAAACAAGCTCTTAAAATAAAATGAAATAAATAAATAAAAAGGGAGGTGACTTGCTCCAGGTTACACACACAGCTAATGGAGGAGCTGTCTCTCAGGCCCAGATTAGCACTCTTTGCACTATATCATATTTCCATTTAAACTAGTCTGTCTTTTCCTGTAGGTAAGCAGGCATGGTAAAAAAAAACATCAGAATGCTAAGTATTAGATGTTTCATGTAGGAGCTACATCTACTCAGTAAATCACTTCATTGAAATGCTATATCAAATACATGTTCTGTGTAAAAAATGTAAGTTTCCAGCGAAATAGACTTAATCAATACGTCATTCTAGGGTTATAAAGTTGTAAAGCAGATTATTTAAAATAGTACACAATAAAATGCGTTTAAAAGTACAGGCTTCTAGTAAGTTTTATTTGCATCATTCTTTCTCACTTTTGTCTAACATCCCCTGAAAAGGTAAATAATATAAAGTAGGGTGAGGAGTAATGGAGGGGAAGAGGAAATCTTTAGCAAGCAATTGTACTATAAGGGTGGAAACACTTGACTCATGTAGACATGTATGACAAGATAATATTGTTTCTTCCTACACTGATATTGGTAAACAAGCTTTAAAACATATTAAAATAATCATTAATGTAAGTAGATGCCAAAACTAACTACTAGAAGAAACAAAGGCTGTAAAGGAAAAGACTATTCAAATGAAACTGAGAGGTGAAACCACATAGATTCTGCAGTACAAAGTTAAAAGTGCTGACACTTACCCTTCGGTTCTTGTTCATTTGACTACTTCTATGCTCCATCTGTTTCTGGAAACTTTCATTCCTTGTTTTCATTACAAAAGACCTATTATTAATCATAAAAGGTGATAATTTTGAAAGCAATGCTTTACTTCAAAAGAAATTGTTATTTAGGATATATGTCTTTAAGCAATATTCTTGCATGATACATATTTAAAAATCTGATATAAGGCCAGACACTACATGCAATTAAAATCCAGAAGCATTTTGATAAATTCTTTTAATTATTCCTGCAGAAGTGATTCTCAGCTTAAGTGTGAATTACTGCATGCCTAACAAAGATCAGAAGTTAACCAAGGATATGGATATAATTTAATATTTTTCTTTAGAAATTCAATTTTCATGAACTCATAAAATGTTCTTAGTTGGTATAACACTGCAGAGACATGTAGTCCAAATTTTTCCTTTAACATATTAGGAACTCAAGATCCAGAGATATAATTTATCTAATATCACATACCTAGTTAGTGACCGAGTCTTAGTCTTATGTTGCTTACACTAACTCATGCTACTTTACTAGTGACCAATTCCTTAGAAAAACACAGACCAGATTCTCAGTGGAATCATTTTCCAAGAAATAAAAATACTTACAACTAAATTTCCAATGTAGGGTATATAGTAAACTAATGGGGCTGAAGAAAAGTGAAGAATTTGGAATAAAAGTAAGGAATGCAAATAATCAATCTGAAAAGAGTTATTGTAAATCCTCATAAATAAATGGTATTCTAGGTAGGGTATCAAATCTTTTTGAGGTGTTTGCCCAGTTACCTGGCTTTTATTCAGACCACATTGGGCTTCTAAATTAATGATTTGTTTGTTTAAGGCAGAAATGTACTCAGCATGTACTTAGTACTTTCTGGTGAAGCTGGCCTGCGGGGAAAATTTTGTGTAGGATTATGAATCTAGTGAAGTCTTCGTTTTATGTTTGGCACAGAAACGAAGTTCAGTTCTGATGGGTATTAACAAATCTAACTGGTCCAACTTACATATATTAAATGGGAAGTTATATAATAGAAGAGTTAATTTCCAAAAGATCAATT